CTGTGAGAGTCTATAAGAATCTTCATATTCTTCATTCCTGTTCTATCCCAATGTGGCTTTTTAATATCAAGTCTTCTCCCTCTTCACTGTGCATTTCACCCTCCCTGTTTTGTGAAAGCCTGCCTGACAAAGAAATTGAATGACCTTGAAGAATAGAATGACTTTATTGTAATTGTGCAACAAAATTAAAAGCTTTCCCTAGCAAACATCACAAAAACTTGCATAGGTATTTTTGTAAAGTGTAAAGGGGCACTGGATGTGAAAAAAGATCTACTATGAACAAAAGATCAGACATATTATAATTCTGCTTATGCCATATCCTCCTCAGGAAAACATATTTTAGTTGTTGCGGACCATTGGTCCACAGCTCCCCAAATCCCAAAACTAGCATGATGAATGTTTAGCCTGCAAAATAGAAGGCTGAGAGGAGGAGATATGGTGGCCATGTATAAATATGTGAGGGGAAGTCAGAGGGAGGAGGGAGCAAACTTGTTTTCTGTCGCCCTCGAGACTAAGACGTGGAACAATGGCTTCAAACGACAGGAAAGGAGATTCCACCTGAATATGAGGAAGAACTTCCTGACAGTGAGAGCTGTTCAGCAGTGGAACTCTCTGCCCCGGAGTGTGGTGGAGGCTCCTTCTTTGGAGGCTTTTAAGCAGAAGATGGATGGCCATCCGTCAGGGTGCTTTGAATGCGATTTCCCAGCTTCCTGGCAGGGGATTGGACTGGATGGGCCACGAGATCTCTTCCAACTCTAGGATTCTATGGTATACAGCAGGGGTCCTCAAACTAAGGCCCGAGGGCCGGATACGGCCTTCCAAGGTCATTTACCCGGCCCTCACTCAGGAGACATGCTAGGAAATGACTTGAAATGACTGAAATGACTTGAAAACACACAACAACAATAATCCTATCTCATCAGCCAAAAGCAGGTCCACACTTCCCATTGAAATACTAATAAGTTTATATTTGTTAAAATTGTTTTCCATTTTAATTATTCTATTGTTTTTAAGTTTTTTTTGCATTATAAATAAGATGTGTCCATGGGAATTCATTCATATTTTTTCAAATTATAATCTGGCCCTCCAACACTTTGACGGACTATGACATGGCCCTCTGTTTAAAAAGTTTGAGGACCCCTGGTATACAGGATGGGATTTAGAGGTTGCATTCTTGAACAAGGAAATATATAATGTGTCTGTGTGATAGGTGATGTTATTTTATGTGTTGTGTTTCATAGTGTTTTCTTATTAGGGGAGGGTCAATTTTAATGTTTTATACTACTTTTATCAATGGCATTGAATTGTTGCCAACACTGTGAACCACCCTGAGTGCCCTTCGGGGTTGATAAGGGCAGTATACAAATATTGCAAATAAATAATAAAAAAGAAGCAGAAGCATTTCAATTAAATTATGTTCACAAATTCCAATCCATTAGCAGGGATATGGACAAAGACAATGAATTAATGGCACACAACATGAATGTTTTGCTTAGTCTACAGCAGGCCTGGGCCAACTTGGGCCCTCCAGGTGTTTTGGACTCCAACTCCCACCATTCCTAACAGCCTCAGGCCCTTTCCTTTTCCCCCTCAGCCGCTTAAGCGGAAGGAGCCTGAGGCTGTTAGGAATGGTGGGAGTTGGAGTTCAAAACACCTGGAGGGCCCAAATTGGCCCAGGCCTGCTTAAGCGGCTGAGGGGGAAAAGGAAGGGGCCTGAGGCTGTTAGGAATGGTGGGAGTTGGAGTCCAAAACACCTGGAGGGCCCAAGTTGGCCCAGGCCTGCTGTAGATGCATCCTTTGAGATACTTTCCTTACCCTCTAAAGAGAAAGATTTGAATCCCTTGCTTGTCCATGGGAACTCACTGCTTGGCCTTGGGCAAGTCACACTCTCTCAGCCTCTGAACAAATCTTGCCAAGGAAATCCCAAAAGGGTCGTTTCTCTTTAGGGTTGCCACAATTCATAATGCTCAACCAGAATCCCATTTGAAAAGGTATAGAAGATGCCTTAGGCCATAACTGAAGCCTCCTGCACTGGAAAAAAATGGAGGAAGACCATATTTACATTTGGAATAAAGCGGAGAAAGGGACAGGGGAGGACAAAAAGGGAATGTGACGGCAACCGATGGAGGACAAAAACATGGCAAGGAAAGGCGCTCCGAGCTACTTCCTCTCCTCCAGGCCTCCCCGCTGTCTGCAAACAGCAACCGGAAGTAAAGAGCAGCGCGGTTCTTCACCTCTCTTCCTCTTTGCTTGTTGTGACGTCGCCGGACTGGCCGAAGCTCGAACGGAGGCGCTGTTGCCATAGGAACAACACCCTGCCTGGAGTTGATTGAGTTCTAAGGCGACCACAGGCCAAGGTGCGATGCGCGCATGCGCTAAAGCCTGCTGAACGCCCTGCCCAGCCCTTGGCGCCAAATAAGAGTAAACCATCAACAAGCTGAAGCAGTGGTTCTTAATTTTTGGTGTTTTTGGACTTCAGCTCCCAGAACTCTTGAATGTTATATACCATTTTACTATAGTGGGACTCAAGCACCCCAGATTTTGAGGTTTCCTACGAATAATTCTTTAGTGCAGGGATATAGAAGGAAATAAAAGTGCTCCATGCAGCCATGCTGGCCACATGATCTTGGAGGTGTCTATGGACAACGCCGGTTCTTTGGCTTAGAAATGGAGATGAGCACCAACTCCCAGAGTCGGACACAACTAGACTTAATGTCAAGAGGAAAACCTTTACCTTTTTTTAAGCACTACTTCATTTTTCTCCAAATATGAGGGTTGACTGAAAAGTAATGCTTCCACCTTCGTTACTTGGGTTTGGATGGGAATATTTTAATAAATCAAACGCAGAAATAATCCTTAGAATGTGCTCTTTAACTACCACTATTCACTTTTCCACAAAGTCACCAGACAATTGGTTACATTTCTGCCAACGATGAAAATTGGTTACATTTCTGCCAACGATTTCTGCCAACGATGAAAACGTTTTCTGAAGCGGTCATGGAAGAAGTCGACACTCTGTTTCCGCAACCAGCACCTTACAGTTCTCTCGACATCTTCATCAGAAGCACAATGATGTCCCCGCAGATGATCTTTCATTATCGGGAACAGATGGAAGTCAGACACTAAATCTGGACTGTATGGAGCAGGGGTCCTCAAACTATGGCCCGGGGGCCGAATATGGCCCTCCAAGGTCATTTACCCAGCCCTTGCTCAGGGTCAACCTACGTCTGAAACGACTTGAAAGCACACAACAACAATCCTATCTCATAAGCCAAAAGCAGGCCCACACTTTCCAAAGAAATACTAATAAGTTTATATTTGTTAAAATTGTTCTTCATTTAAATTATTTTATTGTTCTAAAGTGTTTTTTGCACTACAAATAAGGTACGTGCACTGTGCATAGGAATTCATTCTTTTTTTTTCTAACTATAATCCGGCCCTCCAACAGTTTGAGGGACTATGACCAGGCCCTCTGTTTAAAAAGTGTGTGGACCCCTGGTATGGAGGATGTCATACGGTGGTGAGATCCAATCTGAAGTTTCAAGTCTGTGCACTTTCATTTCAGGTGTCAGCATCCTGGGTATCCATCGTGCACAGATCTTCCTGTATGCATGTTTGTTGAAATTGTTATGGCCATGCAATAAAGTCTTTGCAGTAAGAATCCAGCTTATGGCTTCCTCCTTGCATGGCTACATTGAGCTAATGAGGGAACTCCTAAGCTTGTGCATTTGGAGTGCTGCTACATCAGTGCCTCTTCACCAGCACGTCATAAACTCAGTATTGACAGTGGAGCACTAGGATAAAAAGTTCCCTTTTTGTTAAATCTCTCCTCATGCATCCCAGTATGATTTGTCACATGGTAGGGCAAAAAGAGAAAGCTTTAGTTCTTGGTAGTTTGGGTAACATTATAATGCACCCCCTTTGCATGAGAGGGAACAAAGACATCTCATAACTTGTAATAATTTACTTTTATGAAGGAAATGTGTTTCTGCACATATACAGGAACTGACCCGTCACTGGCCTATCAGACAGAACTAGCCCTTCAAACTAAACATCACAGATCTTCCTGGTACAAACAATCATACAAATGGCTTTGTGTATATCCTCACTCATCTTGCATGAGGAATATCCTTTTTTTTTGACCAGTGGTCCCTAAAATTTGGTCCTCCAGATGTTTTGGACTTCTGTGGTAGAGGTCTTTCTTTGGAGGCTTTTAAAACAAAGGCTGGATGACCATCTGTCAGGGATACTTTGAATGCGATTTTCCTGCTTCTTGGCAGAAGGCTGGACTGGATGACCCATGAAGGCTCTTCTAACTCTATGATTCTATGATTCAGCTCCCAGATTTCCTAACTACTGGCCAAGTTTGCTGGGGGCTCTGGGGAGTTGAAGCCCCAAACACCTGGAGGTCCAAAGTTTGGGAGCTATTGGTTTAGGGAGAAGGATGCTTTGTTTCAGATGGACATGTCTAGAACTAATTTCAAGATTGATGTATTAGTGTAAATATTTGGTGATCATTTTTTCTCTGTTCAATCTATTTCTCTATGTTGATTTATCTTGAATCAATATAACATTGAATTACTTATGAAAGTTGTTTGCAAAGTAAGGATCTATCTCAAATGATTGTATACCAGCTCTCCATGCACTGTGTATTGAAAGAAAAGTAATGGCAAATTTGCAAATACTACATTGCTATTCCCTTCACTGTAAGTAAACTCTGCAGACTGGGATTTCTTATGTCCTCCATCTTTAAAAGATTGAACATGGCAACGCTATTCTTAAGCAGACAAAGGTGGTTTCCGGGCTATTTCTGCCTCATCAGAAGGATGAGAATATGTGCCTTTCATGATTTGAAGAGGAAGCTGTCCACAGCTATTCTTGGTCTATGCACCGTGTTTCCTTTGGATGATGTGGGAGACATTACTCAAATCACATTATACTAAATGACTCATGAGAGATTTTAACTTGAATTTCAGATATTCACACAATAACTCAAAGTATTGTTTTGATCACAGCTCTTTATTCTAGTTCTTTAATTGTACAAAACTACTGACCAGTGCTAGAACTTTAAATTTATAAATGGCCTTTTTAAACAAGTCGATGAACTGAACTGTACATGAAGCATGCAACACACAATTTCCATTTCTTTCAAAGGAATGACTCGTTTGTTTTATCACACTGCATGCAGCATGATTTTTTTAAAAAATACAGTGCAACAACAACAATGCTATTTTACATGATATGCAGAAACAAACAAAAACCTTCTAGGAAGAGGGTTTCCTATGTATAAATCTGAATAAGTGCATTCACATTCACATTTTGTCATCACCTCTGGCTTTTCTTTAAATATTTTTTATTCATTGGACTAAACACCGGTCCTATACAGCTTTAGTACAACAAACCATTTTCAGTTTAAAAAAGTGTAACAGTATAAAAATCCAAGCAATGTGTTAAAATAAAAGGAAAAGGGGGAAGGGAGGAGTGTAAAAAAACATTAGTGAAAGTTCAGAATCTAGAAGGAAGTGAAAAGAGTTCAAGACTAACAGAAGGTCATATATTTAAAAAGTGCTTTCCAGACTTGAGCCAAAGTTTAAATCCAAAAAATGTGCTTTTGGGTCACATAAGGAAGTGTCGTTTTTCCAAAGGTTTCAGCAAGAGTTCGATGCCAATTTTCTTTTGATCTTCAACCATATCCCTTTAAAGTTTATTTTCTTAGAATGGTTTTTATCCATAAAAACAAATGTGAAGCCAAAATTGTCTGTCTGTGATGTTATGGTTTTTATTATGGCTATTTTTGTGATATCACAAACAAAGAGTTGTGGCTTCATTGTACAAGAATGCACATTCCACAACATAGAGATTTTGTTGGGTCTTATTATTTTTAATTATTGACTGGGACAAAAAAAAAACACCTGATGTCTTTTTTCGACAGCTCTGCCATATCTTTTTATAAACATTGGTTCTGAAAGTTAATATTGGAAATATAAAAACTTCCAGACAATAGCTATGGCACAACCTTCATAACATCTTTTTATATACAGACCTCACCCCTGTGTGAACTCCATCAAGGCACTATTACAATACTCAAGTATCTGATGGCCTGCTCTCAAAAGATACCCCAAAATTGAGGATACAGGAGAAAGACATTTATCACTTAGTTCAGTAGTTAACGGTTCTATTTACAATAGGATAAAAACCACAAGACAAAACAGCAGTTAAAGCAGATGACTATCACAATGATAGATGAGACAAATGTAATTGAACTCTTGTTTCATTTCATTAACATTGAATTGGCAAGATTTTCCCCCCCAAAGGCACAGGTGGGCAGTGAACTGTAAATAGTAAGATCACTGTACAGGTTAGCTGTCTGAATGAAGTTTTCATGAAAAGCAAGCATGCTGTATATCTAAGAGATGCCCAATAATAGGCAACAACTAACCTATCATCTGAGATACAAGAAACACTATATATTGCCAGGACTCCATTATACACACAACACATTTTTATAGTTATGTTCATGGTAATGGTTACAAGGTATATTAAAGGCTTATAGTGCATTTAGTTTAAACAAACAGCCATGAATATGGCAGTAACAAGCAATTTTGAATATTTTCTACTTATGTACAAGTAGGACCATACACAATCAAGTGAAAAATCAAGTGCTTTTCTTTAAATACTTAACGTTACCAAAGAGCCCTTGCCCTCGAGTTCTACAAACTGTACAATCACAGTTTCCTTACAGCTTTGTGCAGAAAACAGTCAATCTGAAGGAATTTAAGGTCAGGGCACATGGCTAAATATTATATATGAAGGAACATTTCATAAACCAGAGCCACATTCAACCATATCATATAAAAAGTAATCAGGCAACAAGTTCTTTTTTCAGCATCAAATGGGCCAAAGTAGAGATTTAGGCATGATAAGCTGTGCTTTTCTGTGTCTGACACAGAAGACAACAATCTTTGTAATGTAATGCTGCCACAGAAAGTTTAAGAATCATATGCTTTCTTAAAATGAGAAATGCCTAATACTCTGATGGGGAGAAAAAACCCTACCGGTGTTGCACTGCAACTCCTACTAACTTAGCCTTCACAGTTAAAAGGCAAGGGCGGAAGTCTAACATCATTCCTTATCACTACCCTAAAAAAAGAGAGAAAGCAATGATATAATTTATCTAGCTATGCCTCACAAAATATATTAACACACAGAAAGGGGAGGCAGGAGATAGAGACAAAGTATGGTATACATCAGGCATGGGCAAATTTTGGCCCTCCAGCTGTTTTGGACTACTGACTGTTACGAACTGTGGTAGTTGAAGTCCAAAATAGCTGGGGGGCCAAAGTTTGCCCATGCTTGGTATACATTGACATCAATGGATGGGCCAAAGCAACAGAAGCAACTTCAGTATCTCTGACAGCTGTTGCATGAAGCTAGGTATTCCAAATGCTTACAAAAAAATACAAAGCAGGACAAAAGCTTACTTTTTTCTGATATCATATTTCTTTACTACAACTATTTTTATGAATTGCGCAGAATTTTAGAAATTACATAATAATCCATAGAACTGAAGAAAAGTAGTTCATTGTATTTCAAATTTTTAAGAAAAAAGGATTTGGCAAAAAGTCCACAAGGCAAAAAAGAGGAGAGGAGGGAGACAGAGACTTTCAAATTAAGACTCATTTACTAAAATGTATATTTATGAATAATCTAAAGATTTGAAAAATATCCAAATAATAATCAGAAATATGCATCTTAATAAATTCGTTTAATTTGAAAGCAAGCATCTAATTTTGCTAACATCATTTTGGGCTGTAGAAAAACACACACATATATTTAAAAAAGGTACTGAAATCCAAACTGAATAGGAGGGCTTATTTTTGTCATAACAGAAGGCTGAAGATTTCTGCAGTACTGTGTGTTATCATGCACGTCTAATTGCGATTATTCTTGTCACGTAAACAGAACAAAAGGGCTAATACAAGCAAAAACTGATCTACCTTCCATAATGTAAGTGTCCACTCTAATTTACAGGATGGAGGTTTTCATTTATAGAAAAACCCTACCAAACCTATGTTTTACAATACTGTGCACATTAATGTGCTAAGATCTGGGGAAACTAAAACATCATTAAAATTGCTAATGCTGCTAAATAGGCCTTGAGTGGCAGATTAGATTTGGCCCGTAATTCTTCGACGTATGGGAGTGTTATGCAAGCCTGTATATCACAGCATAATTATTGAGATGCAATTGCAGTTGAATGGACTGACTTAAGCCCAATATTTGAAACATCACATGGTCTCATGTTAAGCATCCATGGGTCAAATCTAGAAAATCCTTTATATCATTCACTAGAGTATGGTATCCTGTGGCTTACATATAGCCCAAGACAGCTTTGGTATAGCCTTCAAGCCTCTTGCTTTCCAGCAAAATATATTAAAACATAAAAAAGTGCAATTCTGTTTCCAGAGGCCTCCAGAAGGCACCATTATCTCATTTCCACTTCTTTAGGTCAAGCAGAACCTTAGAAGAAGCCCCAAATTGGTGAACAAGCAGACTCTGACATCACTTCTAGTTTCATCAAAATGGTGGAGGTGTGGGCTGTACACAGAGGACTTACAGGTGGCCCTTAGACATGCCACTACTGCCCAACCCTGCAGTACAGCCCTTCTTTTTCCCATTCAAATAGTGACTCCATCACTGTCCCCAACCCTTTGCATCCCAACTTAAAGTATTTCTGGGTCTGCTGAAGCAGTATGTCAATAGGAGCTGTATTTACAAAGAGATGGATACAAATACTACTGGGAAGATAAAGCTATTAGTGTACTACTCAGGACTGTTACAATCACTAACACTATGATCACGCTCCATTTTCATAAACTAATGGAAACATCTGCCAAGTAACAATCACTGAAATGCAGCAGGGTTAGTGAAATGTTGATGGACTAATATAGCTTAATATATTTAATGGTAACAAAGAACTGAATAGCTTAATCTTTGTACAACTATATACTGACATCGCTGGGTGCAATCTTCCTAATTAAGTAAGATCTCATGAAACTTTGAACACATATTGAACTGAAACACAATTAGTCTGGCCTTTGGGGAGTATGCGGTCACACTGAAAAGGATGCCATCATTGCCCAGAGTGACAATGTTGTATACTGGCATTTATCACTGCAGCCTAACCACACTTTAGAATATGCAAGGCAGTTTCCCAGTATACCAAGGATACAAAGAAAAAGGTACTGGCACATAAGCATCATCCATATCTTCTGGATAGGACAGAATATAACAGACATTGCCACGTGAGCACAAGCCTTTGAGGCAAAGGCCTACATCTTCACAGCTCTTGCGTTTTAGAAAATATTGCCTTATTTGAAGCTAACCCAAGCTTAAAATATGGTCCCACGAAGAACACAATCATTCCACTTCATATATTCTTCCATCCAGGCATTCTATTTAAACAAGTAATTGATCATAAGCTGCAGGAGAATCATCAGCAAAATGAAGACATAGTGCTTGAACTGAAAAAAGGTATTATCTGATGGTGGCGCGCTGGTAGACATTCGGGTTCTCAGAGCAGTGATGTCCCTACAAGAAATGAAAAAGAGTACAATAAATTCATAGATGGGCAATACAAAATTTGCACAAGAGTGGCAAAAATGCCATATACTTAATGTGTGGCTGTTAGATTGTTGAAGCAACTGAAGAACTGAATAGCAAGGTTCAAGGCTAAAGCAATGGCTCCTATCAGTGTAACAGGACACAGGAGAAGCTTTGGCAAAGTTTCTTCACAACACAGAAAACCTATGGGACTCGGGTGGTATTCATTTCAACAGAGTTAGCACTAATTGTGTGGACCTCAATGTCAAGATCCTGACACAAAATATCTCCTACAAAGTAACTTTAGTAAAATATGATACATATTGCCTACCTCTTTTGAATGTGAGTAAAGCAAAAAGACAAAGAAGGACATTCAAGACTGAACAACAACAAAAAGTGGTTGCCCCTTAACTGGTAGACTCCCATTAAATTTCAGTAGCTTGGGTGAGAAACACATATTGACTCTTTATGAAGCCGAGTAAAACAAGGTTAAATATTTTTGGTCCAAGTGGCTATTATAGGTCCAAGTAGCAAACTGATTTTTCATTTGTTGAATTTACTGTAATCACTAAGTTACAGAGAAAGCAAACAAATTCTAGTAAAGATAAACGTTTCCCCTGACATTAAATCTAATCGTATCTGACTTTCGGGGTGGTGCTTATCTCCATTTCTAAGCCAAAGAGCTGGCATTGTCCTTAGATGTCTCCAAGGTTATGTGGAGACTGCATGGAACGCTGTTACCTTCCCACCAGAGCAGTACCTATTGATCTACTCACATTTTCATGTTTTCGAACTGCTAGATTGGCAGAAGCTGGGGCTAATAGCGGGAGCTAACCTCGCTCCCCAGATTCGAACCACCAACCTTTCGGTCAGCAAGTTCAGAAATTCAGTGGTTTAACTTGCTGTGCCAAGGGGGCTCCTAAACAAACTCTAAGATCAATTAAAGCATTTGTAATAATCCATGAGCACTTGAAGTTTATACCAACATGAATTTCATCCTATAGCTATTGTCTAAAGAATCAGTGTACACACCCCTCTGTAGGTACCAAAGTCATTGTAAAATAATACAATACATAGTCCCTCCATTTTAATAAAACAAGGAAAAACTATGAAGACAATAAAGTGAAGAAATTTCTAACCCAATCCACAGATATAAAGAAACTGGTCAGAGACAGCTCATAATCACAAAAAGTCTAATTCTCACCTTGAAAAAAAATGAATCTTATATGTTGGTTCCTGTGTAAATTAGGGTTGCTTATTTTTAAATGGATGTGATAAACTGTGGCTTTCCAGATGCTTTTGTATTGCAACTTGCATAATCTTTCACTACTGGCTACACTGACTAGAGCTGATGGGAGTTGAGAGCCAAAACTAAATCATTGTCTACGATTTCTCATCTATTTGAAACCAAACACTTACAGTAATAACACAAGGCATTGTAAAACAACCAACCAATCAAAATCCTACCTCCGTATGTCTTCCTGTGTCTCTCTTATAGATTCAATGGCACTTTGCAATTCAATGAGATCAAGGGTTTTCTTTCGGATTCTTGTACTATGCGTGACTTGTGCTTCAAAAGTAATTGAAAGAATGTATAAGGATATAAATCATGTAAATTACACCAAAGAGCTTTTAAAAATTCCCAAAATAAAACAAGTTATCTCCCTCTCTTTTTATAAGTCAGAACAGAAGAACTCAGTCCTCAAATCATGCTACAGCACAAAATGAAAACAAAGTAATAACATGTGTTTAACACACAATAAATGTCGCAAAAAACTGAAAAAGGATAGGATGATGAATAATACAGTGCTCACCTTCACTGCCAGATGAGTCCTGATTATCAGGTTCCGGTGAGGAGAAGCCACACTCCCCTTTCTTTGACTTTGCAGACCGTTTTATTTTTGCGACACTAACCTGAAATTAATTAATTTACAATGTTCATCTGCTTGGAAACAAAAGAAAATGGATCCCAGACCTACTTAATGGAAATGTACAAGCACTGAAAAAAGAAGTCAAAGTGGAGATTTTATTTGATTTCCCCCTTTTCTGAAACTTCTGGTTCCAACTCCCATGGTGTCCTGGAAGACTGGGGAATTGTGCAGGACATGGGGAAGAGGACACAGTGTCCCTTTGTTTATTCAGTGGGCAGCCTGGATCTACCATAACTAGATAAAAGACTGGATGTAGTATAATGGCATATTGTCAATTTGCTTTAAAATGACAGGGAAGAAAAGTGATAGCTGAGGACCGGAAGGAGTTAAGTTATTAACACTGCTTACCAACTAAACTGATCATGTTTTAGAATAAAACTATAGTATTTCAACTACTTTTATTCCGTTACTCAATACATACAATTTTGACTTGTCACCTATGAAATATGTCTGCTGTAAAGATTTTACTATGATGTTGTCATCAGAACAGAAAGCAAAGAAAATGTTCCAAATCTGAATCCATTTAATATAGCAGTTGACCAAAAACAACTACTACCACTACAAGAACATACCATTGGTGTCCGGTGTCTGACCATCGTTTGAATGGCACCATCTTTTTCAAACTGTATCATATCATTTAGTGGATCCCATGGTCTTGTGCTGTGGATGACAAACAGCACAACTTAAGACAGTTCAATAAAGGTGGCATTTCAATCATGTTACCTTTAGGGAAGTTTCTTTTATAGACATTTCAAGCCGAGGAATATTTCTTGTTGGTGTGGTGTGCCTCCAAGTAATTTCCGATTTATAGGGACCCTAAGGAGGTTTTCTTGGTAAGATTTGTTCAGAGAGCGTTTGCCTTTGAGGATGAGTCAGTGTGACTTGGTGTGCCTCTGCCTTCTTCTGAAGCTCAGTATGCCTTGCTCAAAGTCATCCAGAGGCTTTTCATGGCCAAGTAGGATATTAACAAGTGGCAAGTGGGAACGTGGATGGTTGCAATCTGAGAATTCTACCTTTTCTGGGTAGGTTGTTTGCGGGGGCCAGAGCAAAAGATGTTTCCTGTTTCACCAGGGAATACTCCTCTGGATCAGAAATGTACAATGAAAATTAGAAACACTTCTATCTCTGAGAGAAAGATTCTAGAGTCAAGAGATTATGCAGATCTGGCCTGCAAAGCCTGTAGTCCTCCAGGAATTTTAGACTTGAGCTCTCAGAATTCTTGACCATTGAAGCAGCTGGGCATGGTTTCTGGGAGTTGGAGGCACAAACACCGGGAAGGTCACAGGTTATGCAGGCTTGATGTTCAGCAACTCAGTAAAAACTATGCAACTAAGAGCCAAAGGGGAAAAAAATCTCAAAGGCGAGTGAAATTTAAACAGAGAATCAGATCTCTTCTCTTCCATCTTCCTCAAATTGAGAATAAAAATCTTAACCAGGCAGCATATAAAACCCAAATGACACCTACATGTCAGTATGTATAGCCTTCCTCTTTTAAAAAGAAGTAGCAGTGAAACAAACAGAAAAAAACCAGTTCTTTTACAGTAAGGTGTTGTATCACTGGGAAATTCAAATGAATTAAAGGGAACATCATGTTAATAGATAAGGCTTTTAAATATGGATATGTGTTTTAATTTATTGACTCAGCTTTTTATATTTGCATGAAATGTTTATTTGAATGTGTTTTATTGATTTGTTATTGTTTACCTGTATTATATTAATTATTTGGCTTATTATGTATTTTTGGCATCCCTGAGTCCCCAGAAGGGAGATGGGATGAGATACAAATAAAGTTTTATTATTAAGCCATTTCAGTTTTTGACACAAGACAGAAGTTTCAACTGTTCAATCTCTATCTTCCATCATTAGCACTCACAACAAAGGAAACCAGCCTTGCAGTGTCAAATATCTATGTAAGCACCCATTGTGTGCAAACGATATGGTTAAAGAGAAGCAAACTGGATATTGTAATGATGAAATTAATTCTGATCACAAGAACATAAAAAGATATCAGACCAATCTAGTCCATTATTCCTATAGTAGCCAAGTAGGTTCTGCCTGAAAACAGAACATGAATGCAACACTACCAAACTAGTTGTATCCAACTTGTAATTATATGTATTACACCTTAAGGAAATTAAAAGGTCAAAGCAGCTTCATAAAGGACTTTTCAGAAAAAGAGAAAGTGAATATTCCTAAGATGTTACAGGCTGTATATTGTTTTGTAAACAAGATTTTGAATTACAATTCATGACTACAGTGAAATCAATTAACAGGTGTTTATGTATTAACACAAGTTAAGCTGTTAGCTGCAGTACCTTTGTGAGCCAAAAATATGTTGCATGTCATTTGAAAATTCTGAAAGTAGACAAATTGGTTTTTCTACAGTGTTAAAATAAATAAATGGGCATAAATGATACTGTGCACAATCCAAGGCAGACTTAAAACACTTAATTATTAAATCTGCCTTGAATAACAGCCACGAAGCAGTAAGCGATTCCCCCCCTCCCCATTTGTTTGCTTGTATCTTAAAGAAAGATGTACACATATGGCCACACATGCACACGCACACACAGAGACATCTGTAACTCACTCTGCATATCTGTAAATCCATTCTCCTGTGAGTGGATCTGGCTCAAATAGCCTGCATATCCACTCTTCATCATGGGCTTTCCTTTCTTTGGCAGCTTTTCTCTGAGCTTCCTCCAAAACATATTTCTCCTGAGTTGCTTCTGATTGGTCCTTGTTGTTTATTGCTCGAGTCACATGTTGCCAAAGTCTATCAGATGAGAGCAATAAAGTTGCAAAAATTATTTTGACTGCAATATTGGAACAGAGGTATTTAGTCATTTCTAAAAGTGTGCTATTTCATTCTGTTTTGTTGTGGAATTTAGGGTGATTACATGTATGTTCAAATGAAATTATTCATTGGCACACAATTCCAATATCATAAAAACAGCTAATAACAATAATTTTAAAAATCAGTTTTAAGGGTTTAAACTGTTTATTTTAATACTGTTAATATTTAATTATGTTTTAATGTTTTATATTTTTAGGTTTTAAATTGTATTGTTGGTTTTACTGTAGGTCGCTTTGAGTCCCCTTTTTAGAGAGAAAAAGTGAGGTACAAATAACAATACAAAAATCAATGTAATACACTAAGAAAAAGACTAATGCATTAAAACATGTTAACTGTCACAATTAAGAAGTCTCTTTCTCTAGTTTGCTAGAGGTAAGTGATCAAATTTCTACATTCTTTTGATAGAACATGACTTCCATTCTCCACTTTTCTGCTTCAGCCATTAACAAAATGCTTCTTGCTGTGCGCTAATACAAGTTAAGAAGGAACTTACTTCTCTGACTCAAAGTCACCTTGCTCCTCAAACCTCACCATGTGTCTTCTTAATCTGCATTGCCTGATTTCAGGTGTTGGATTCCAGAATGTCGCTGAAATGCTTGTCTTTTTGTCTCTAATATAAACTTCACTGTCCTGTAATGTTTAACATATTGGATTACTTGAATACTCAAACAGTAAACAATTTTTACTGAATCAATAAGAACAAATGTTTCCTTCAGAAAGACTCTTTTTGCAACCCAGAAGGTTGCTGTGCCAGTTTGGCTAGGGCAGCAGAAAGTCACATCTGAAAATAGATCTTATTTCAAGAGCAAGGACTTGACTTAAGGGAATGGGTAGATTCAGTTTCAGTTGTGCACTGATGTTTGGTAAAATATCAGCATTTCTAGTCTTTTGCCAACTGACCATTAGTAGGATTTTGCCTTCTCCCTCTAATCAGTTTCTACCTCCACAAATGAAATTTTCCTGATATCCTGTCCACCCTCTTGTGCCTTTCCAGACCATTCTGCTACAATGCAACAATTTCATCTGTTTTACATTTGTAAGAATTTCAGGCAGGACATTCCTACATAATACACTAGCCATGGCTGCACAGTATGTTGTAATAATTCCTAACAAAACTCTGCTCAGATTTATCATGGAAAGGGCAAACTATTGATTAATGGGTTGTTATGCGTTTTCCGGGCTGTATGGCCATGTTCCAGAAGCATTCTCTCCTGACCTTTTGCCCACATCTATGGCAGGCATCCTCAGAGGTTGTGAGGTTTGTTGGAAACAAGGCCAGTAGGGTTTATATATTGATTAATGTTTTCTAATACTTTCATTGCCTGAAATTCAGATTGCAATAATAATTAAGGGGCAGGCTGCTGGGGAAGTGTGGGTGGGATTTCGGGGGGGGGGGGGGAGGTAAATAAAGTTAATAATCATCATCTTTGGCTGTATTAGCATGGGACTGAGAAACTGCTACAAGCTGTTACCTGCTTGTGAACCTCATTAATCAGCCATGATTTAACGAATCATTAGTGAACGTTTTACTTCAAAGTGAGTGGAGCAAAACCTATTATTTGTTCTTTTCACTTCATACTCATTTTACTAACTGCCTCTCTTTGGGCTCTTATGACTCAACTCTTATCCTATTTGCCCTCTCTTCCATACTACTAAAGCACATTTCCGCACTTTTTTTCTTTACAAAGAATGAAACAGTTTACAAATGTATGGAAATTTTGTGCTTTGGTGTCCCAATAGAAGTCAATAATTTTTGGATCTGAAGGTGTTACAAGGAAACATGATTATCATAGAAAATAACAGAGCAATGGCTTCAAACTACAGGAAAGGAGATTCCAACTGAACATTAGAAAGAACTTCCTAACTGTGAGAGGTGTTCAGCAGTGGAACTCTCTGCCCCGGACTGTAGTGGAGGCTCCTTTTTTGGAGGCTTTTAAACAGAGCCTGGATGGCATCTGTCGGGGGTGCTTTGAATGCGATTTTCCTGCTTCTTGGCAGGGGGTTGGACTGGATGGTTCACAAGATCTCTTCCAACTCTGTGATTCTATGATTCTGTATATCAAGTTAAGCTCTCTTCTCTCTTATTACATGTCCTGATATCAGCCTACTTTGGGGTTGGATTTTACGGCCTTCTCCGTGCATTGTTACAAAATATGAGGCGCAGTTTTGGGTAGCAGATAGGGTATAAATAAAGTATAAAATAAATTTCAGTCCCTTTTTGTAGATTTGTGAGAACATGAGGAAACTGGTAGAAGCATTCCTGCTCAACATATCCAGCTAGACATACATAAGTATGCAGTTGCCACTTAAGAGGTGATAGTCTGTATTTTAGATTTCTGAAAACACATCACGAAATATTTAAATTCCAACATGATTGCAAGTGATCATTATGGAAACCAGAAGGATGTACAATGGATACTAGCAAAAAATGTTGCAATGCATCTAAATGTAAAACCATATTTTATACATCTGACCAATATTTGACAAAAAATTAACATAATTGTACAACTTACCCAGTGGCCTTCTAGGGTAGCTAGAACTTCTTTTCCCAGTTTAATTTTCCCCATTATTTGATTAACGTTGTCATTGTTGCCTAAAAAGGGCTATTGAAGATAAAAAAAATTGGTAAGTTGCATAGCACTTCAGTTCTTTAGAAAACATCACTAACTGCTAGAGTTCTGAAATCTCAGCCAAAATTATTTAAATGTTTTCTGTTGAAGCTGCTTAAAATCAACCACAGAAAAATATTTGGCAAAAATTAAGCTGGGCATGACAGCTTTCATGAAAAGGGCAAAGTAAGGTCCCACATCTAGAGTAACCTCGTGTGGTAGTGCTTCCAAGTTATAGCCTAGGTTCAGAGTTGTGCTCAAAATTTTTAGGCACTGGAGAAGTGCAGAGAGTGGCAGTTTTTTATGAAGTCTGTCTTCCTTTTCAAATCTTTCAAAAGACCGTCCAGAAAAACATGGAAGATACTAAGGAGGAAGGAGGAATCAAAATCACCACAGCATCTTTTTCTTCTGGAGAAGAGCTTCAGTAGGACTATGATTCCCTCAGAGAACAGAGAGCACACTTCTGTTTGTGGGAGGGCAAGTCCAGATATGTCTTCCGGCATTTTTTATTATGAGCAGAAACATAATTTACTATTCAGCAAAACTGTAACATTAGTTAATTTTCATGCTCATAAAACTAATAAATGAATTGGTTAAAAACATAGCAATCTGAACACGTGTTTTCAAAAAATATAATCGCTCATTTCCCTCCAATATGACCACTAACTAACCTTTAGTTTGAATTCAAGTGCTGCACTGTATCCCGTTTTCTCACATGCGATGTTAACAGTTCCTCCTAGCTCTAAAGTCATTGTACCATAGAGAATTCCTGTAAGAAGCAGAAACAGTTTTGTTTCTAGTTTTGTTACAATTTCATCAGGTGCTTTCAACTTCTACATATAACCAAAAAGTACACAGAACAACTCAATCCATTCTGTTACAATTAAGGACAGAATATTTAATTGATTATAAAAGCACGAGGGCAGGGAAAATATAACACAAAGTCTGCATTCATAGAAAAGGAAGTACACTACCAGTGGGCAAACAGTGAATAGTTATTGACCAGCAGAGGGGACACAACTCTAAGTGATAAAATCTGTTGTTGTTGTTAGCTGCTATCAAGTTGGCTTCCTACAAATATGCAAATCCTTAAAAGTTGGAACTTTAATTCTGACTGGGCAGCAAGGATGTTGCTTTCAAAGTCCACAGAAACTTGCAGATCATTTGATTTTAAAAAGTAAATACTAATGTCTCAGGAGAGAATGATCATGAAAAGGCTATATCCCAAAAGATAATTTATACGTTGTCTTATATTCTCTGCTTTTTATATTTTCATACATGCATAACTAGTCCACCCTCCTGTAAGTCCTCTTCCACTGCAACTTCTCTAATACCCATTGAATGTCTTCTAAACGTCCCATCAGTGTTCATAGTTCAAAACGTCCCACAGCTATCTATTTCTCTTCAAGACTCGAAGCCTAAGCCCTTTTAAAGAAGATGTAGACAATTCAGTTGGGGTTTGTAGATAGGATTCAAGTAATTTACTTGGTATATTCTCCATTAGTCAGTACAACAAGAAATACAGGTCACACTCTAAGGACAAGCTGACTTTAATACAGAACTCTGTATTTATTGGAAAACCTTTGCATATTGGAGTCAAGATCCAACACTGACACATCTGCAGATTGAAAATGAATATATTTGCCACATTAGCAAAGGACCAACTTCCCATTAAAAGAACCATTGTTGTTGTCATTATCGTTATCATTATTATTACTACTATTGCTAAATCTGGATCCTCGGGTAAAGTAGGCTGTCCTCCTCTACTAATCACATGTACTGTAGTCAATCTTTTAGGAATAAAGTTGGTTTTTATTCAAAGTTGAGAACTAACCCCCTCCAATTATTTAAACTAGTAAACAATGTTGCAAAATGCAGTCCCTCCAAAAACGAGAGTATATGTTAATGAATGTTTGTTAAATAAAATGAGAGGGCAGTAAAAATAATTTGGATCAGGCACCAGTTTCTAAAATGAATGGAGTAATTCCTTTGTATATTTATTTATTATTTAAACTTATATGCCGCCACTCCCCTGGGGCTCGGAGCGGCTTACAAGATGCAGCTGACAAAAAATGTAAGAAATATGCTTCTCACAAAAGACAGAAAAACCTAACTACTATTTTTGTCCCCAGACCTTGGGAGACAGTGGAGATTTCTCTCAATTGAAATGCAGTCTGAATACGAAAAGAGCAGAAATTTCACTTCACAATTCCACAACGTCACAATTATTATCTTACCAACACCTTTAGATAAGTCAGAACAGATTCTAACTCTTTCCTTAGCCCCCTGAGATTGTCAGAGGAATGGGGAATTGCTAGCAACAATGGACAGAGGTTTGGCTACTTAAGTCAAGTTCTTCCTTACAAATTCCTGGAAAACAAACATATACCTTTGCAATGTGCATATGGCATGGACATTATATATTCCTCTCCTCTATTTAGGAAAAGAAGTCGCCCTTCCCCATCCAGAATGGCAGATAATGAGTTTCCTGAAAAAAACAATAAAATGGTAGATTCAAACAAACATATCTCAAAAAATGAACTAGATTTCTATGAAGTGATGTTTCAATCTTAACTAATTCCCAGAAATACATTCATAATTATTTTTATTCTGCTTCCTATACAGATTTATCCTGCAAAAGTAACAATTAAATAGAGAATACTCTCATCGACAATGAAAAAAAATTGAGAGTTTTGTCAAACTCACCATAAAACCTGGATTTGGCCAAAATATTTCCACTAAGGCAAAATCCATCCTTTCGATTGCTTACATAAAAGGCAGATATGGGAGGATGATGAGATACCTGTCAAAAAGGAATAAAGCAAGTCTTGTTAGAAACAAGCAAAAGAGTTAAGAATCTTTTTTTTCTTAACTTTTATGGAAATGTGTAGCTATTCCAATACATCTAGGAATTTCTGATTACAGAATGTAGGGATGTAAAGTGTGATGTGTAAGAAAGTTATATCCAAACACTTCTCAAACTACTGTACATGGGTCAGTTCTCAATACACAGCCTATATATACAGTCACATGGCTCCTGCCTTCAGATGGTTAAATCTTACCACATTTGCTCATGACAGAAGTCAAGAGCCTCTTCATACCAAACTGAGTACCACTAGACACATTTCAACAATTTTGCTGAGAAATTTGTATTTACATTGGAAAAAATATCCACAATGCCACATGAAATACTTTGAAACCACTGGTTAACTAAGTAGATGTGTGACTAGTATAGTCCTAAACCCACATTTGCTAACAGAATGTGAAATGTGGCAGTCATGTTGCTTATTCTTGTTCAATTGCAGCCCAGTCTATTAATTTCCCTTTTGCAATCCATCAGTTATAATAAAATATGTAGTATTTAATATGTTCAATATGTTCTTTGAAAGCAAATAAATAAATGAGGGCTTAATTCATCAGTCTGTTTAAAGCAGTTTTCTCCGCTTCAGCTCACTTTGTTTTGCAGCTTGCCTTAGGAAAAGTAATATTTATAAATTGATTTAAAAATGTTGTGAATGACAGGAAAACCCAAAAAGAAATGGCAAGGAGAAGATTAAATCAATCCCAGAATGGAGCAGGAAAGGAAATAAATATAACACATGGATCGTACTAAATTATTATGCCAAATTCTTCTTTAGAGTTTACTGATTTGGCAACACTGCAAGCAAATATAAAATATGGAAGAAATGAAGAAGGCTATTTAAAAAACAGACTTATGTCATATTGTAGGTAATACCTGTTCAGCTATATAAAAAGTCTTGCTATTGGTCTTTGGATGAACCCACATGCAACGGAAGGTCTCACCAAGTATAGGATTGTAGGGTTTTTTAAGCCCCTGAAAAGAAAAATACATGTTTATATATGCCATTTATAATTTCAAAAATCTCATCCAAATGTCCAAAGGATTTGTTTTCAAACATTCTACAACTGGGAGTCCAAGAACGATGTTATATTTCATGGTTTGGCATGAACAAGCAGGAGGTAACTTCTTTACCTATTTTGTAAAACAATAAGGTTGCAAAGAGGTCATGTGAGACAATCCACATTGTAGATAAAGGGTATGGCTGTATTAAAGATCAACCCAGAATGTACCTAACAGTTACAACAAGGATCTGAATCACATGGCTACTCAGATATTGTTGGACTGCAGTTCTTGCCATTCCTTACTACTGGATATGCTACCTAAGACCACTGCAACTTGTATCTCAACATTTCTCATCCCTGACTTACAAAAACAATGCATGGTTCTACTTGACCAGACTTTACCGCATGAAGTGACCATGATTAAATAACTCCTGGGAAGAAACAAATCTTTTTGTATGGTACCAAAAAGTGGTGGGCCAAAAGGAAGGCACTACAATGTCCAAATTTAAGGTGTTTTTTTAAAAGAAAAATAAACCCTCTGATATATACTGGCCAATTGAAACCTTTTGTAACAATAGCTTTATTTATTTATTTATCATGACAGAAGCGAGTTGAAGGTAGCTGGGGAAATGAATTATTTGATTGTTATGAAAATAAATTAAGTATTCATTTCTAACTTTTATAATCTTTTCATACATGATGTGGAAAAAAATAAATTCTGGTTAGAAAGCTCTAAAAATTAATAGAATCATAGAATAATAGAGTTGGTAAAGACCACATGGGCCATCTAGTCCAAATCATATAGCAGTTTGCAAAGTCAGTTTGACTCCAAATGCATTGCATTTTTAGCCATTCCAACACAATAGATCTGATGCTGAACTTTAAAATAACCACAACCAAATAAAGAAAGAAAAAATTAGACAAAGAAAAACAATTTTAAAATAGATTTTTCACTAGATTTAGGATGATTGGGCAAGGATGGACATTTCATATAGTCCACCATACAGCAGATATTATAATCTGATTATTATTTTTTCCACCACCATGGGGTTATGTTTGACTCAAAAAGTATTCAATGTGTTACCTTTGGCTTTTTGTAGAATCCTGACAAATACCATTTCACAACTTGTTTCATACGATTGTAAGCATTCTCTTCAAGGGCAGCTCTAGAATGAGATTCAACAAATTTGTGATATACATTTAAGTAAACACTGATCAATCTTTGTCACGTCATATAAGGCTTTGTATTCTAAAAGAAGTCAACTACAGGTAAATAATGTATTTCTCTAGACATACACAAAAACGACCACTGAGCTTGGCCTACCCAGAAGGTGGTGCTGGAATTAAGACAATACCTATGTATCACCCTGCGACGTGATTTACAGCAGGATATAAATATACAAAATAAGCATCTGATGGTTTTATAGATTGGTAAGGAACAATGCTTTCCATCTTATTTTTTATGAAGAAATTACATTTTTATTTATATAAGAAGAATAAAATAAACTCACTCAGATAAGAAGTCCGCATGATAGTAGTAATCAGAAAGTTTGTCCAAGAATGAACGTGTTTCCAAAATAAATGTAGGAAGCACCACTTTAGAGAGATCCATTCCCGGGCGTACTTGTTTCAATAGTGTCCAGATCAAACTCTTATTCTCTTCTGATACTGTTTCTGTTTGAGAAGCTTCTCCTGCCTTCATCAAATACAAATCAGAATGTAGGAAGACCTGAACACTGATTTAGCTTATGCATTTCTGAAAAATATCTGGCTTGACACAAAATTATTTTCATACAACCTCTCATTTGTTTAAGAATTAAATGTAGGTAAATTTTGGATGGCTCTTTAGAGACATTTTTTCAACTTATTTGTCTAACACAGACTTCTTTAAAATAAACAGTCCTCAGTATTAAACTTGATTGAGAAAAGGACAACATATAAGATGTGAAACACTTTACTCATTATTACTTGAGGAAAATATTCATGAGATGGTAGATGAACATCAATGGCCTGCAATAATCTGACAACTCCCAGATGAACAACTAGTTTCAGCTTTCTGCTTGTCTTTTTTTAAATTGCTCTGGTGATGTTTTTGGTTCTGATCAGAGCTATTGTTCTATTATTCACCTTTGTGCTGCTAAACTAAAATTTCATGGTACTCAAACTGACTCTACATTTGTAATTGTCATGTTCTTTCTAGCACTTTATCAGCACAACTTCTAATAGTTCTATTTGCTTTGTACGGAGTTGGCTTACATTTAGCTATACACTGACAACTTATTGAAATTCTGAAACTGTTGACCATAAGATTATACGAAGACAATAAAAATAACCATCTACACAAGACAAAACTATTTTACAATTCAATTACAGTCAAACTGACACTCTCATACTCTTTCCAGTTTGCTTCCAATTTAGTTAAAATAATATATCCATTACAATTATATAAAATGCTTTTTTACCTCACCAAGTTCTTCATGTGCTTCTTCTATATATGTTGTTTCCCTGATATGATCAGGTTCAGGGTCAATGTATGAGTCGTCCTGCCGCTCTGATGTGTCAGAGTCGCTTTCTCCGAGGGCATCATTATCTGATTCATCACGATCATGATCATTTTCTCTATCCGATTTATCGGAATAGAGATCTGGATCTTTAAAGTGATGCCTTTCAATTTCACTATCGTTTAAACTAGATGGGGAGGGAGACAGAGAGAAAAGTTTCAATTATGGTGTTTCTTTGCTTCCATTATGTAATTTACTAAATAAGAAAATGTATGATAACCATTGTACTCAACTAATAGCTTTTTTATATTCTCAATTCAATAAACAAACCACAATGAAGCTAAATTTATGGACTTTCCATCTTTTCATGGTTTTTAAGGAGAAAAGTTGTCAACAAGGAATTAACAGGACAGAATAATTGTTACATTTGATTGGGTTAACTCAAAATTAACTGATGCAGATTCATTTCTAAATCTTAATACATATTTATCCGTATCTTGTTTCTGGCATCTTTATTTTTTTAAATCTATTTATATTCCTTAGCTCTATAGCATACCTTATCTCAGGGAGGGTATCTTCTCCAACGGATTGAGGAGAAGAGTCCATAATTTTCAAAGCTCACAGTATTTTAATATACATTTGGTTTATATATGCACACTCACACATATCTATATGTACATGGGTAGTGATCTTATGAATAATATACTAGTTTGTCAGTTAAACCTGAGATAGAGTTTAGTATAAAAAATACAGTATTTCTTCCAAAATACATCAACACAAGTTAAAATGGAAGTATTCATAAAGCCATAATATGGCCTGTAAAGAGATCTCTTTGACAATTGTAATTGAGAGCTACAATCATAATGTCGGCCCTTTATTACTTCAAGCCAATGGTAAATATTGGCATTATGACACATGGTTAACTCAACCAATCACCACTCTCTAAATTTGCTGCAGCTGTACTGACTGAAACAGAACAATGCATTATGTGGGGCTGTTTTGTGTCTCAGCAGTTTTTCTTCATAGCCTTCTTGATTGAGTAGTAAAATAAAGAAAGCAATAAAACATTGTATTCTTCATGTAAGTCGTTAATCAAGATGGCCAAAGCAATCTCAGCGACCCCAGAGGCACTCGAAGTGGCCAGCTTCTGGTCAAAGGAAATTTAGTATAATGCTAAGTTTGTAACTTTGTGGTTTTTCTATACATTTTAACTGTATTCTCAATTCGTTTCTGACACAATAAATAAAAATAAAAATCTCAGTGCTAAAACTGAATGAAATGTATCTAGACACCCAACTTCTGTAGTGATATTTAGAACTGTATAAGTACCTATCACAGCAACTTGCCCAAGAAGGATTATTAGCACCCCCTATTCCCATTTATAGACTGTTGAAAATGTACCAGAAAGAAAGAAACGTAATGTGAGAACAAACATAGCTTGAGTAATTAGTTGAATTATGTCCATGTTTCAGTTGTTCTTTGGTTTCCTTTGGAAAAAAAAACTGCAACAGACACACATGAAGCTTAAAACAACAGGACACAGTGGCTATATGGGTGAAAACTCTGAAGCAGCCCACTACAATACAGCAGCAGCAACAAAACCAAGGCCTTTTAACCACTTCTCCACCTTTCTCTTCCTGATTGTTCTGTTTCTTCCCCTCAGATGCAAAAAATGATCAGGAATGCTGTAAACCACCAATAAAGACCCTTGTCTTGCCATCAACCTTAGAAAACTTCTTGGTTGCTTCTTGGGCCAGACACTTTATAAGGGAAGGAAGATGGCTGGTTGGAGTAGTGGCTACTGTTGGTGCTTTGCATCACACACTCCTTCCTTGAAAACAATTCTAAAGAGACATCAATGTCAAGTAATGAAACAAACATTTAGCTGACTTACGGAAAGCTTTCACTACTATGCACGTTGTTTGCACGCAGCAGGCCATAGAAAGACACATGTGCACCATCTGCTAAGTTGGGTTCATGCTCTTTACCTTCTCTAATCATTGTACGCTTGAGCAAGCTTGAGCATTTCAAAGCCAGTTCCAGGGCATCCATCCAACATCTACCTAAAAATAAATGAGAATATTTATATACCTCTCATATCAGCAAAATTACAAATGAAAGATGTTAGAAGGTCTCCAACTTATATGTTTGTAGCTTTAAAGCACAGAACTAGAATTTTAGATATCTCATTTCAAATCCAGAAAAGATGACATGTGCTTGTGGGAAATTATTTAAATGGATCTCTTTAAACCCCAACTCTCATCTTCTGTACTCAAAGACTCCATTTTTTCCAATGAGATGTATTTTCATGCAACTATACATGGGGATGCATCTCTTGCTTCTGATTTTCCAAAACACAAGGCACTGGAATAAATTCTTTTATTTATACATATACACACAGTAGCCTCTCAGTTAATCAAATTCAAGCAGCCCAAATGGCAAACATGTGTAACTAAAATTGTGTCTTAAATATCTTCCAATCCCATGGGTTCTAGTTAACTGAGCGTCTACTGTTTTTGGATTAAACTAGAGGATAGGAGGCTTCTTAAGGAAAGACACTGGACTACTCTAATATTTTAAAGCTATGCCTGAATAGTTCATTATTTTTAGTAGCTACTAAATTCAACCAAAACCCACCTACTTACCATTGCTCAGGAATAAACCTTTATGCTTACAATGACACTACTGGGAAAAGTTAGTTCAATCCATTTCAATAGGCCTATTAATGACTAAATCTGTAGCCAACATAATGTCTAATAACTAAGATTTGAAAGAATGATCTGGTTAGGTCATGCTGGAAACTAAATTTGTAATTTTAGCGCAATAATTAGCAGGCAGTATCTGAAAGGTTGTCTGAAGTATCTGTATATGTACCTGATTCCCCACGACCCACCCCAGTTTCTACGCAGAAGGCTAGCCCCTTATATCTCATATTCTTGGAAATTTTAATATCAGAGAGCCAAATGCAAAAATAGTATTAGGTAAAAAAAGAAAAATCAAGGAACACCTCCCAAGATAGTGGATGCTATTGTACATTCTTTCTGGGATTCTGTATAGATGTATACATAATGAATTAATTATTCAAATGCACCCTTTTAAAAATGGGTACAGCAATCCTAGTTGCTATGCCCACCTTTCCCAACACCCAGACAGGCTTTGGGGAAGGCGCAGCATTGGGTAATGTTCTTGTCCTTTCTTTATTGCACCTCCCAAACCATTTATTTTGCACTGCTTGCAATAGGAGGCATTTAGATCAAACACAGGACATATTTAAATCATTTCCTAGGGAAAGTGCAAATGTTTACTTGCATTGCGATAAGGTCAGTGAGCTCAGTGACTCTGGATCCTCTTTCTCCTTCCCTGAAGAAGCGAAGGGCATGGATTTTTCCCATGTTAACATGGGAACTGAAATGCAATCTCTTTATAAGGTCAAATGCAAAGCTCTGATAATCCGGACTGCATCTCCAGCATCTAATTTCTGTGTGTCTTCCAAATTTGGGACTACAGGGTTGTATAGTGAGCCTTTGATATTCACTATGGTTTGATTGTAGGAATCCCTGTAGATACCAAAATCCATAACTGCTCAGTCACATTCTATACAATGGCATTGTAAACTGGTATCTCTTATATAAATATAAAATGACTAAATCAACATTTACTTTTTGGATTTTTTGGGATATCTTCAAGCATGGATGGTTGATTCTGCGGATATAGAACATGTGGGTATGGAGAGCCAACTATACTGTAAAAACAGAACTAAGCACCAAAATACTGTTCCTTTTAAGATATCTCATTGATTAGTTTAATTTTGCAGCCCTCACAGCTCTGACATTTGTAACTTTTCCATTATTTTATAAATAATTTTGATGAATTTTGTTTGCTTAAAATCCGGAGTTAACTTAAAAATCAATTTAGCAATTTACTAAAATTGCTATTCTAAGAAGGCAAATGAAAATATAGCTGTATTCCTCCACCAGAATCTCATGCAAAGATTTCCATGATTCAATCAATCATGATGAAAAACCTTGCAATATTTCATTGAATTTGTTTTCTATTCTGAAAAAGGAAACTTAAAGCATAAAATCTGTAAAATACAAGCAAAGAATGCAATGGTGTTACTATTACAAACCAGTTTCTGAAATTATTTGATCACAGTGGTATTTGCAGTGCTTCTCTGACTTCTAAAGGAATTCAGGCAATATATTCCACATTTTTTTCCTGCTTCTTCTTCTAATTAAAAGAGGTATGGAGCAGTTCACTTTTAGCTCTTGTGAAGAGATACACTGCCTTTAAAAAACAAACCCGGAAATCACAGTTTGAGTTCACTTCCAATTGCAGTACCTGCCATTTGGTGGCATTGCAGGCATTTGTGTGTGTGGAGTAGCAGGAAATTCACAGCTTTGGCATGCCACTGAACAGGCATTGAGAACTACATATGGCCTATACAGCAAATATCCCTCACCTGTGATTCACAATATAGTATTTGGTGAAATCCAATGACCAGTTACATATTCAATTCTTCTACTTCTTAGTATCATTTGCTTCAATACGTTCACATTAAGAATGGCAATAAACTGATCTCAAAAGGAACTATAAATATATATATTTACCATCTGATTCTGAAGCTGCTCGGATGATCAAATAACTGCTAGGTAATGGTTGTGTTATAGAGCCAACAGCTTCCCCTTTAGGGCCCTGAAAGTACAAACAATAGTTTTACATTTATTTGAATGTATTGATCTTCAAGAATTTTATGTAAATGTTGATTATTTATATGTTTATAGCACTGTACGGTGCTTATGTGAGGCCGCCCTGAGTCCCCCTTGGGGGGAGAAGGGTGGGGTAAAAGTGCACCAAATAAATAAATAAATAAATAAATAAATAAATAAATAAATAAATAAATCAGATTCTCTATTATCCAACAATAACTAATGAAGTGTACTTACTAGGGAAAATTGCTATCTTTCACTAGATTATTTTTTCAAGCGTCATTTCAGTACTGTGTCTCATATTTTATCCCATATACCAACCCCTTTTAAAGGCATTCGCAAGTTTTCTGAAAATACCGTAATTTAAAGTAACGAATTATCCCGGTCACATTAAGAACTCTGATTGCTCATTTATGTTGATTCAGAAAACAAAAAATGATGTTATCAAGAAAAATATTAATAACAAGAACCCCCCTGGGAAGAAGCCACCAATGTTGCCTGTATATTAGTTTCATGTAGTAACCCTCGGAAATTGGGAAACAGTTAAGCTATAGCACAAACTAGTTCAGAGAGTTGGAGCAAACCCCCTTTTCCAATAATTTCTTGTACATAAATTCCAGGTAAGTATGGGCAGGCAGAGAGTGAGTCATAACAAAATGCATGATAGAAAAACCTCAATTTATCTTTGTAGGATTCACTTACGCTTGATTCATAACATGTAACAGCAATCCTAAAACTAGAGCCTGATGCACATTGCACTACAGGGCATGCATTAAACAGTCCAATGTGATGCAAAAATGGTTTTATATTTTAAATTAGACACAATGAGTATGAAGTAATATTACTTTTCTGACAAGAAGCAAATATTAACAATGACAGTTATAAAAATCAGCAGTGTATTACAAATCCTGCATGCTGAAATTATGCTGAATTTTAAGACTGTAGGCACAGTCTTCTCCAATCTGATGCCCTCAAGATAAGTTGTACAGCGAACCCTGTCATCACCAGAAAAAATGGTGGAAATTAAGTCTGTTTGGGGACAACAGGACTGTAGCTAAAAACAAACAGAGGACAACAGATTGGGGACAGCTAGGCTAATGCAATTCAAAGCACAAAAATGGGGGTGGGGAGAAGAAGAAAGAACCCATAACAGTGGCACAGATAAAGAACAACTGTAAAGTTCTTGAGTTTACTAACAGCATGAAGAAAAGTCAACTGTGTTCAGTGCATCTTATTATCTAGTGTAGCTTATATAGTACTATAAACCAAGGTTCCATTTGGCAATGCCTGGCCCCTTTTCTAGAATGAAAGCCTTATGTACTATTTAAATGAATATTTGTGCTCTTTTAAATCTGATGTTTGGCCTTAGTGGACCTCACTTTATTAGTATTTTGGCACACTGTCAAGATTATTTAGCTTTGGGTCATGTGCTTAGGCTTGCTTCATTTTTCTCCATGGCCTGTGTATGGTAATTTTCCACTTCATTTTTTTGCTTATTATATTTAATTGCCTATTTATGAGGTATGCTTATTTTAAAGCTGATTACTCTCAAAGCCACCTTGTAGATGAAGACATATTAAATGAAAATGAAAGGGCTAAATCCAAGCTTCACTTTATCTATTAATAATAATGGCTGAGACCCTGCAACTTCAGACAGAAATTATAATAATGTCCTAATGGAGCCATCCTTGTTCAGCTTGGCCGTGCCCCAACTGAAGGGGTTCCAAGTTGCTGGAGATAATGTCATTTAAGGAAGCTTTAAACTTACTTGTACCCAAACCCAGCCTCTACTTTATCTCAGCCATAAGATTGTTTTATAATGATGTTTGTTACTGTGTTTTGTGTTTATTTAATTTTATTGTGTTTTGTTTTTATCTGTATTCCGGCTTGTCCCTTTGTAAGCTGCCCCAAGTCCCCTTGGGGAGACAGTGGCGGGGTATAAAAATAAAGTTGTTGTTGTTGTTGTTATGCGTATTGTGTAATCTGGAGTTGTTTTGTATTGCACCTCTTTACACCTAAAGTTTAAAATACTTCGCATTATCATTCAATATTCATCCTTGATAGACCATGCAAATTGGTCCCAGTCTGGACGCTAAAACATTAACAATGGAAGTATTTTCACACTTGCTGAAATAAAGAGGTTGTGTTAACCAGTGCTTTGAATTAATGTACAACAGCTTTCTCCTGCAAGTTTCATTTGTTTCAACAGATTCCCAGACCTGTGGATAAGAGGATAATACAATGAACCCACACAAGATGATTTTTTCCTCTTTCAATATCTCCAGCTACCCAAAACAGTATTGTTCAGGATACTAGGATTTGAGGGGGGAAAGTAAGCTTAACAGAGGTGTAGCTCTGTTGGACTAATCTATGTCAAATGAAAACACTCTGAGATCATTAATATTTAAAGGCGCAGAAAGGTTTAGCATGTCATCAGGATAATGTTCTATTCAGCATTAAGGGGACATATTCACTTACCTTAACAGCCCAGATAGATTGCTCCAAAGGATGGAAAAGTTTGAAACAAAATCCATCCTTTTTTGAAGGCCGCTCAATGAGTTCACATGCGTTCAAAAGTACTGTTCCTACCCACTGGCCATTTTTAGGAGTTTTGTAAATAAGCAGTACTCCTGGTTTCAGCACGCACCAAAGTTTGGTCCAGCTTTTCAATGTACCACGGATCTTAACAGAGAAAGAAGAGAAGATTTTAGCTCTCTTTTTTCTTAATACTGCAATTCCTCTCCTCCAAAGAACTGAAAGTATACATACCCGGTTCAGTATTATAAAATTCAATTAGGATAGTTCCAGGTTTCTTTCCACAACCAGAATATGTATTACAATCTATATATTGTTATTTGATAGATTAGTAAACTACTAAAGGATATCAAATCTAACATACCGGGATTTTTTCCCTATGAAATGAAATCATGCACAGTAACTGTATATGTATCTATCTACTCAGAAGTACAGATACTACTAGCCAAGTATAGGATTCCACTCCAAGCTAGTTTTTATGTTACATATATAAACAGAGACATAAAGCCTGCTGTTAAAGTCTCAGCTGACAGTTTGAATGTGGGATTGAGATCTGAAAGGAATCCAGGTTAGGCTGATTCCCAATCAGTAATGAGGTTCCCTTGTGATCTGCAAGTAAATCACTCTCCAGGGCAGTTGTGAGAATAAAGTGTTGTCATGATGGGTAAAACTGTAACCCATTGATTAAAAATGTTGTACATTAACACATTCTCAAATTTTAATCCGTTTAAGAAAATACAGATTTTGAGGTAACAATATCTCAGGCTTAATATCTCAGGTACTTAATTTGCATTTGACCTGTTATAATCAATGACATTAAGCAGTGTTGAATTACAGTATGATCCCCATATCCACAGTGGATACATTCCTGAATTTTTGGTGGAAATGCAAAACTGCAGGTGATAGGAAATCCAGAAGAAACATACTACAGAATCTCACTGGAGAACCTAAAAGATGTCTAAGAACAACATATTTTTTTCAAAAATGATATGTGAAATCACAGTTACCGGTCCCATGGATTCAAAGTGTATACTGCATTTAACACCCATGTTTGTTGTACTGTGTCTTCTTGAACAAATTTACATAATTCTAATTCACTTAAATGAAGCATTCAAATTTTATGCCCTCACATATAAAAAGTGTGCATGTGTTTGTTTGTTTTTTAAAAAATCTGTTCAAAATAGTTGTATATTCATAACTTCCAATTTTCTAATATTAGAGGAACATCTTGTAATTCGCAAAATGGTAAATACAAAGGAATCATCAACCCAATTCATTACTGCAGACAGATGTAGCCATGGCAATAGCAATAAAGCAGCAACAAGGTATTCCCCTTGGCTTCTTTTCCATCAAAGACTGAGCCTTTGGGAGACAATTAATAAATCCCAGCTACAGGTAAACATAAGAAGCTATGCAAGATTTTACTATTTAATATTTTAGTAGATGAACAACTACAACTTTCACTAATATTACATACGGTTTCTGACCTTTAGCCAGTCAGCCATAACAATGACTGATGGATCTGTGATTGTACTAAGTAATTCTTTTGTAGCTCTTTTCTTCTCTTCCCTGTAATTTTTCTTTTGAACCTATAACAAACACAAAATAAATAATAGAGTAAGAATCATAATTAGAGGAAAAGAAAGTTATGAATTGACTAGACTAGAACAAACCAAAGGTCAATATATAAAAGGAACAGCAAAAGGACTAATTCTTTTGAAAAAAAACAACTAACCCCACTGTTAGTGGTGCTGTTTGTCTAACAGAAGAATTATCATTTCATAATACTTATTTCTAACCAGTTTTCTATAGAAGTCTTTATATGATGGTTCTTCAACTATGTAAGCATACATCAGGAGCCCCTTTTTGTAGTGGTATTTTGCTCCCTTAGATATTCATTTAGTGCTGATGTTGCCCTCACTACAAAGGTCAAATCTAGATTTTCATCAAACCTTTTGAAAGATATAAATTATTATCTGGAAAAAAAGAGTTTTCACAGATGGTATAAACTGTTCTAAACTACTGCTTTTTGGTCCATATCCAAAACCTAAGATTTTTTATCTATCTATCTGTCTGTCTGTCTATCTATCTATCTATTTATCTATCTACCTATTTATCAAACTAACACCTGTGACCAAGAACTGACTGAATGGGTTTCTATGCCTGAGCAGGAATTCAAATCCTGACCTCTTAAAATCCTAGTCCAAAACTTGAAAATCAACATCATACTTGTTCTCATTACTTCACATTAATTATTTATATTTTAAATTTATAATTTGTGGTCCATAGCCACTTTTCAATCCCTTTTCAAATTGGCTTTCATAATCTTACAAAATGATTCAGCATCTTGGGCTAGAAAATGCTTCTAAGTAAAGAAAACAGCTTCTGCAATTCCAAGATGAAAGGAAAACCAGACCTCAAGTGAATCTAGCATCATTTCTATAGATGTGACCCATTTTTCCTGGCATAAAGTAGCAATGACTAGTAACAGATTTATTACTTTCACCTAAACATATGATGTGCGTAGGTTGCAAGACTGGTCCACTTTGTCTATACATAATTATCACTGAGGTGATAAAGTCATTTGTAGGCTACCTTGTACCATTTGGATGGAAACAAGACTGCTATGATTGAATGTTTGTTTAAAGGCTGGTAGAGCCCATCAATATACTTGCTGGGTTTTACCAATAGTGGTTATGTTGGTGGGGCTGTTAAGAGTCCAACATCATTTTGAAGGCTACAAAATGATGTCCTTAAGAAATGCACTACATTCTAGAGATACATCAAGTCCTATACAATATTTTCTAAAGATGATGACAATTGATTCAGCATTGCAACTTTTCCGATATCCTAGTGTTTTTATCTAAAGCTCTTCAAGATTTCCTATTTAGTTTCTGCCAGTTGAGTGACGCTGTTAGGAGACAGTAAGTGTGCTGTTTTGAAAAGCAACTGACCTTAAGAGACTCCTTCTTGGTGAGCTTGGTAGTTGAGGAGGTGGTGGAGGCAGCAGCAATATCCTTCTCTGACCCATTATAAAGCTTAGATTCTGACTGAAAATATACATTACACAGGAAAACAATGAGTAAAATACTACACTAGTTATTTTTTAGTCAATTAAACTACAATTAAGTGACATAAGAAAGCCAAAAGGCTTTCTAGTGCACAGCTATAATGTTTATATTCATATTGTTTCATTTCATTGAGGCAGACAAGGAGTTTTAAATGGATCCAAAAACAGGTGTTTGTATGGTACTTTGCACATGCTTCTGTTTGCAAGTCTTTTTAAAATGATCTAATTTGCATAATAGAGTTCAAGATTATCAACCGAGCGCCATATGTACAAACAGACACAAGACTTCTCTGACTCACTAGCTCCAGCTCCTTCAAGGAAAATTTCTCCACACTTACTATTTGAACAATTTCCTGTATATATTACAGCTTGTTTTTAAAGATGCATTTTTCCATTTAAGGTTTTACAACACTAATTAAAAATTAACTGTACTCTATTTATCACAGAAGTGAATAAAATGTGATGTATGCGATGAAGCTCTTCAGACCCCACTAAATTTAAAGGAAAACATCTGCATTGGTTTTTTACTATTTCTTATCTGAAAATCGACCAAACTGACTGCAAACTTGAAACTAATGGAATAGTTTCTTCCCCGTTAGAGCCTCCATGTCTAAAACAACAACAACAAAAGACCACAAGCCAGTCAAAATGCCCCAGAAAGTGACGCATCACCACTGGTGCCAAAACAGGATGATGTAGCTTGCTGCAAAGCAGTGGTTCTCAACCTGTGGGTCCCCAGATGTTTTGGCCTTCAACTTGAAGAAATCCTAACATAACAGCTGATAAACTGGCTGGGATTTCTGGGAGTTATAGGCCAAAACACCTGGGGACCCACAGGTTGAGAAACACTGCTGTAAAGGATGCTCCTGCCCACAGTTCCTCACCACAAGCTTATAGCACACCAACATATGATTTTTTTTGTTGAATTGAGATAGAGTTTGATTTATTCTGCTTTCTGTTTATTGAGAGTGCCCCCCCCCCCCCCAAAATATTCCACTCCCACATAACAAACCATCCAATTGAGAATGGTCCCTTGACTGTGGCTGGGAGGGATGGAAAATTTCACTTCCACTAATTCAACTGCATGCAATGACTACAGTTCAAATCCTTGGCCTGAATAATCTAAACATGATTTCATTACATGTATTTCCCACAGACTGGAAAAAAACTAGATGATAATAATAGAACGGGTAGAACCTCAGAACTCTTCTGGCAGTCAGCCATTCCTTACTAGCTGATACTGTAACCAAGTTACTAGGAACTTCTCAGTAAGCATTTGCTTACTAAAAATATACTTTGGATGAGTTACAAGGCATTTGTTTTCCCGATATCAAAACATCAGCTTGACTGACAAGAGCTTAATTAAGATATCCAGGAGCCAAACAAATCTTCCTGCTAAATAAAAGGCCAATGTTTTTCTCAAAACCACATTCAGTGTAATTTTCAAAAAAGATGCTAGCCGCTTGCTCTTTGTTACAAAACACCAGTTTAAGAAGTACTGGCTGAAAACTGTACACGTGAAGGGATCTAGGAGTCGTAACAGACCACAAGCTAAACAGTATACACGTAATGTGGCAGCTTTAAAAAGTCAATGCAATTCTAGAATACATCAAAAGGCGTGTGCTGTCTGTATTGAGGAAAGTAGTAGTAATGCTCTATTCTGCTCTGGTCAGACCTTACTTGGAATACTATGTCCAGTTCTGAGCACCACACTTCAAGCAGGTATTGACAAGCTGGAACATGTCCAGAAAAGAACAACCAATATGGTCAAAAGTCTGGAAGCCAAGACCTATGAGGATCAGCTTAGGGAGATAGGTATGTTTAGCTTGGAGAAGAGAAGGTTGAGAGGGGGCATGACTGTCATGTGTAAATATTTGAAAGGATATCATATTGAAGACGGAGCCAGCTTGTTTTCTGTTCACTCCAGAGACTAGGACATGGACCAATGGATTCAAATTGCAGGAAAGGTGATTCCACCTAAATATTAGGAAGACCTTCCTAACGATCAGAGCTTTTTTTACAGGGGACTATGCTGCCCTGGAGTGGGGTCCCCCTCTCTAGAGGTTTTTAAACAGAGACTGGATGCCCTTTGTGGTCTCTTCCAATTTTATGATTCTATGAAGAATTCGAGTTCAGAGGCCTTATTTCATAAAGTTCACATATAATTTGAAGGCTCTACAATCTAAACAACACTTGTGCAAGTGAAACTTCAGTAGCAACTTCTGAGGACTCCAAAGTACCTTTCCAGGATGGGCACTGGAGGGAAGGCAATCTTGTTAAGAAATTAAGCATCCTCTTACATATAGATTTTCTGTGTGACTTTTCAAGAAAAGATGTAAACTTCATAATTCAGCAAAATAGATGTAACTGTTCCTTAAAACTATCAGCAATGCAATGCAATAAAGTCTACAAAAATGGATACGTTATAAACCATATTAATGTTGATAGGTAAACGGTTTCCATTGACATTAAGTCCAGTCATGTCCAACTCTGGGAGTTGGTGCTTATTTCCATTTCTAAGCCAAAGAGCCGACGTTGTCTGTAGACACCTCCAAGGTCATGGGGCTGGCATGACTGCATGGAGCACCATTACCTTCCTGCCGGAGCGATACCTATTGATCTACTCACATTTGCATGTTTTTGAACTGCTAGGTTGGCAGAAACTGGGGCTAATAGCAGGAGCTCACCCTGCTCCCTGGATTTGAACCGGCAATCTTTCAGTCAGCAAGTTCAGCAGCTCAGCGGTAACCCATTGATCCACTGGGGGCTCCTAATTAAAGTTGATACACAACAATTTAAACTTCCCAAAGCATGGTTTTATTTGGCTCATTCAATCTGATTTTTTTCAGGGATAAACATGTCAGGTTTTTTTTTTTCTACCGGTTCATAAATTGGCATTCCCTGCTTCCATAGGTTCACCAGGAAAACTTGCACAGAGGTGACCTTGATTGTTCCTCTATTAACAGGTACTGCCAGATTTCTGTTTTCCCTTTTTGATATTGGCTGCTGAGAAAACACTTCCATACAGCTGGAGAGTCACATGTAAATCACCCATGTTTGTCATGTAAATAACCCATTTGGCAGAAGCAATCATTCTGATGGATATACAGTACTGGTGATGGAGGGAAAGGAACCAAACAATCCATGCAGCTGACAGTAGCATGAGTCATTGGCGGGATATTCAGCACAGGTTATATTAAAGCATTTTCATAGCAAAGTTGATCTTTCAAGGTTAACTATTGATGAAATTAGTTGTATGACTTTCTCCAAAAACTGGAAAGATCCTGAGTTTTTGGTTGGTCAAAGGAAAAATAGTAAAAAGACTGTCTCAGCAAAACTACATTTTAATACTGTTTACAAAATAAAGAAAAAAATCTGCTAATTTTCGGAAGCTAGCACAAAACAACTGAAAATCCTTTTTCATATCTCATGTATCACTACTGTATTAGACTATGAAGTATATGGAAAGTCAATTTAAAAACTGAATGGAATATTTTTAAAAAATAATTATTTGAGTATTCATGGGGAAAAAGCAAACTGGAAAGAAACATTTGGGCTTAAAATATTTAACACCATGTGCCTATAATGATATCTAAAAATAATTTTTTAAGCTGAATGAACCTAAATTAGATTTAAAAAAATCTATTGCCCAGAGTAAAATGGTGTCCCTTATATAAATGACGAAATCAAAGTTTGCTTTTTGAATTAAAAACTGCATCTTTTGTAGCTATGGATGGGTACATTTTTGGATATAGCTCGTAATGTTATAACCAAAGTTAATTGATAGCTGTATGTTATTATTGTTTTATGTTAGGTTTTTATGTATGTGAGGCATTGAATTTTGATGTATATATGTTGGAAACTGCTTTGAGTCCCCCACCCCCCAGGGTGAGAAAAGTGGTATACAAATGAAGTAAATTTAAAAAAATAAATGAAGTTATGTATAGATGTTAGTTATCTTATGGTTTTAAATTTAAATTTAAGGAAGGTACAAAATATGTTTTTAAAATAATACTTTGTTCATTTGAATTGATGTTGTTTGTAGTAAGTTTTGTGCCATCATGAAGATTGCCATGACTTAATAGGAAATAACTTCCCTCTACCACATACTAAAACGAAGATTCAGAAACATTTTAAATACATTATGGTAAAAGATGCAAATGGAGCCCCTGGTGGCACAGTGGGTTAAAGCACTGAGCTGCTGAACTTGTTGACCGAAAGGTTGCAGGTTTGAATCTGGGAAGAAGGGTGAGCTCCTGCTGTTAGCCCCAGCTTTGCCAACCTAGCAGTTCGAAAACATGCAAATATGAGCAGATCAATAGGTATCACTCCGATGGGAAGGTAACAGCGCTCCATGCAGTCATGCCAGCCACATGACCTTGGAGGTGTCTACGGACAACATCGGCTCTTCGGCTTAGAAATTGAGATGAGCACCAACCCCCAGAGTCAAACATGACTGAACTTAAAGTAAAGGGGAAACCTTTACTTTAAAAGATGTAAACACAATACTGAAATGTGATTCCTAATATATACCTAGTATTAAAATATTTACAAAAACTGTATATTATCAAAAATTGTATATTATCATGACTGAACCAATGAGGTAATGTTCAAACATTCATTGAAACGAAACATACTTTAAAATGTTGCAAACAGAACAATATCTTCACTTGTAAAATGAATTAATGTACTTACTTTGCTCTTTGACATGGACTGTGTGGAATCATCTTTACCTTGTGAAGCATCATCTTTCCCCCTGTCAAACCCTAAAAAAGAATTCAAGATGATAACATCACTTTAGTGAATACTTTAAAAAAAATTCTATTCTGGCTTTCAGGTGAAGATTCTCCAAAAGAAAAGTAAGAACATTTAAATACTCATATATAAAATACAATTAATTTAAGCATAACATATTTACATCCGTATCTAAAAGTGATTCCAAATATATTTATTTAAAATATTGTTATGATGTAACATATGATGTAGCAGTTCCAGCACCGGACTATGACTCTAGAGACCAGAATTCAAATCCTCACTTAACCATGGAAATCCACATGGGCAAATCACATACTTTTAGCATCAGAGGAAGCCAAAGGCAAATCCCTCTGAACAAATATTGCACTGTGATAGGCTTACTTTAGGGTTACCACAAGTCAGAATTTACTTGAAGGGACATGCCAAAATATCATATTTTGATTAAAAGGGTTATCATTAAAATAGAGTTGTATATTGTATTAATATATGCTCTAAGGACAACATTCTAACCATACGAAATTTCCTTACACAATACAAATTCTAACTACGTATATGTGGAATGCAAATCATTTGGAATATGATTTGTTTGCTATACAGTGCAACAATTATTTTAAAACTAAGAAAACTTTGTTTAATATTAAAATCACATTGGAGACCAAGAAACAAATCTTGTTCCAATCTTTTTATATGGTATCAGCAGTTAGTTCAACAGTTTCAAAAATTAACATTAAAAAGTGTTACCAATTCATCTCATCAGTTATTAATAAACTAAATTTAGATGACAAAAGACTCTTTGGGAAAGAAAGAAATCAGGGATCCTGGATTATAAAGTCAGAACCTGATCTTCCACATGTGACTTTTTTATCTGCACTGGATCAGATCCATCCTATCTGTTATCATTTTATGATAGAAGTGGGAGTGGGAAATGGACGGAAGGCAGGACTATGGCAATCCGAAGCCACAACATATCAAATAGTCAATAATGCATTGTTTGCTGATACTGTGGTTGCTCAATGCGTCATGGAGGAGGGAAGGTGTTCCGTTAACCGGGGAGCCCCCATAGAAGTCGTGGTGGGGAGGGGGAGATACGGGAAAGGGAGGCCTTTAATTCGACCTAGGGAACGGGGAACAACATTAGTAATTCCAAATCGGTCTCCTGATATGGTAAGTCGGTGTAACCAGGATGGCGGTCCCTCCGAATTGAAAGTGGTGCTGTTGAACGCCAGATCTGTCAATGGTAAAACAACTTTCATCCAGGATTTAATCCTGGATGAACGGGCAGATCTGGCGTGCATCACAGAGACCTGGTTGGACGAAGCGGGAGGTGTAAATTTGACCCAGCTTTGCCCACCAGGTTTCTCTGTGCAGCACCAACCGAGATCCGGAGGGCGGGGAGGCGGAGTTGCAGTGGTCTATAAAAATTCTATCCCCCTGACCAGAGGCCCCATCCCGCAGTCAACCAATTTTGAATGTGTCTACCTGAGGGTGGGTGACCGGGACAGATTAGGGATTCTGTTAGTGTACCGTCCACCTCGCTGCACTACAGTCTCCCTACCTGAGCTAGCGGGGGTAGTCTCGGACCTGGCGTTTGGAGTCCCAACGGCTGCTTGTGCTGGGGGACTTCAATATCCACGCCGAGACCGCCTCATCGGGAGCGGCTCAGGACTTCATGTCTACCATGGCAACCATGGGGCTGTCCCAACAAGTATCTGGCCCCACCCACAGTGCTGGACATACATTGGACTTGGTTTTCTGCCAGGGATGGGAGGAAGGTGGCGGTGTTGAGGAGTTATCCATCTCTCCGTTGCCATGGACCGACCACCACCTGGTCAGCTTTAGACTCACTGCACCCCCTAACCTCCGCAGAGGTGGAGGACCCATTAAATTGGTCCGCCCCAGGAGGCTTATGGATCCGGATGGATTCCTGATGGCTCTTGGGGAATTCCCCGCCACCTCGGTTGGTGATCCTGTTGATGCTCTGGTCGCTCTCTGGAATGGGGAGATGACTAGGGCAATAGACACGATCGCTCCAGAACGTCCCCTCTCAAGTAGCCGAGCTAAACCAGCTCCTTGGTTCACCGAGAAGCTGGCAGCGTTGAAGCGAAAGAAGAGGGAACTAGAGAGCGTGTGGCGTTCGGATCCGAGCGAGCCAAATCGAACACGGTTTGTGTCCTTTTTAAGGGCATATGCCGCGGCAATAAAAGCCGCAAAGAAAACTTTCTTTGCGGCCACTATTGCGTCTGCAAAGAACCGTCCGGCTGAACTGTTCCGAGTTGTCAGAGGCCTATTAAAACCCGCCACTCAGGATGGGTGCCCTGATGACTCAGCAGCTCGCTGCGAAGCTTTTGCTCGGTTCTTCGCAGACAAAGTCGCTTTGATCCGCTCTGGACTGGATACCATATTAACGGCAGTATCTGAGGATGTAACACGAGCATCTGCTTGTCCGGTTTTGATGGATTCATTTCAATTGGTGAAACCCGAGGATGTGGACAAGGTGCTTGGAGGAATGAGAGCTACCACATGCATCCTAGACCCCTGCCCATCCTGGCTTCTGAAGGAGGCCAGAGGGGGATTGGCCGAGTGGGTGAAGGTGGTGGTTAATGCCTCCCTTCGGGAAGGCAAAATTCCAGCCAGCTTAAAGCAAGCTGTGATAAAACCGCTGTTGAAGAAACCATCACTGGACCCCACTCAATTTGTCAACTATCGGCCTGTTTCCAATCTCCCCTTTTTGGGCAAAGTCATGGAACGTGTGGTGGCCTCACAACTCCAGGCATTCTTGGTAGACACGGATTATCTGGATCCGGCACAGTCTGGCTTTAGGCCGGGGCATGGTACTGAGACAGCCTTGGTCGCCTTAGTGGATGATCTGCGTCGGGAGCTCGACAGGGGGAGTGTGTCCCTGTTGGTGCTGCTCGACCTCTCAGCGGCCTTCGATACCGTCGACCACGGTATCCTTCTGGGACGCCTCGCGGGGATGGGTCTTGGAGGTACTGTTCTGCAGTGGCTCCACTCATTCCTCGAGGGTCGGTCTCAGAAGGTGTTACTGGGAGACTCCTGTTCAACCCCACAACCTTTGTCTTGTGGGGTTCCTCAGGGTTCAATACTGTCTCCCATGTTGTTTAACATCTACATGAAGCCGCTGGGCGAGATCATCCGGAGTTTCGGAATCCGATGTCATCTGTACGCAGATAATGTCCAACTCTGTCACTCCTTTCCACCTGCTACTAAGGAGGCTGTCGAGGTCCTGAACCGGTGCTTGGCCGCTGTGACGGTCTGGATGGGGGCGAACAAATTGAAATTGAATCCAGACAAGACAGAGGTACTCCTGGTTAGTCGTAAGGCCGAACAGGGTATAGGGTTACAGCCTGTGTTAGACGGGGTCGCACTCCCCCTGAAGACGCAGGTTCGCAGTTTGGGTGTGATCCTGGACTCATCGCTGAGCCTGGAACCCCAGGTTTCGGCGGTGACCAGGGGAGCATTCGCACAGTTAAAACTTGTGCGCCAACTGCGACCGTACCTTGGGAAGTCTGACTTAGCCACGGTAGTCCACACTCTGGTTACATCCCGCCTTGACTACTGCAACGCTCTCTACGTGGGGTTGCCTTTGAAGACAGTCCAGAAGCTCCAATTAGTCCAACGGGCGGCAGCCATGATACTAACAGGAGCGGGGCGCAGGGAGCATACAACTCCTCTGCTGCACCAGCTCCACTGGCTGCCGATATGCTACCGGGCTCAATTCAAAGTGCTGGCGTTGGCCTTTAAAGCCCTAAACGGTTCTGGCCCATGCTACCTACATCTCCTCCTATGAACCGACTAGGACACTAAGATCATCTGGAGAGGCCCTGCTCTCAGTCCCGCCTGCATCACAGGCGCGCTTGGCAAGGAGAAAAAAAAAAAACAATAAAAATCAAAGAAGGATAAAGGAAACAGGGAAAGAAGAAAGAAAAAAACACAAAAAGGAAGAAAGGAGAAACGACCAGCAATAGGAAATGTGAAAAAAAAAAAAAGAAACGAATCCGAAGTGCGGCTGGCGGGAACGAGAGACAGGGCCTTCTCTGTGGTGGCCCCCCGGCTTTGGAACACCCTCCCTATAGAGGTACGATCAGCCTCTTCGCTGATGGTGTTTCGGAAGAGATTGAAAACATGGTTGTTTAAACAAGCATTCGGCTAATCCGTTGCAATCGAATTCTGGTGACTAAAGGACAGGTAATCATGGACAACGAATTTTGGATTGTGATTTTAGTTCGAGATGCATGGGATTATTATTGGTGGCCCAATAATTGATATTGTATGTGTTGTATGTTTTAAATTGAAGATTGTTTTTTAATTGTTGTAAACCGCAATGAGTCGCTAACTTAGGCTGAGATATTAGCGGTATACAAGTGTATAAATAAATAAATAAATAAAATAAATAAGTGCTCTTCAGCAATATATATTTAAAATGCATATATATTTGTATTTAGTAAATCAATTAAAACCTGTTTACAATAAAGTTTCAAAGAACATGAAAATGTACAATTAACAGATTGGGTGTTATAGAGAATAAATCTTCCTAGTAATTCAAATTAGAGAAAACCTATTGCATTAATAGGATTGGCTTAAGTATTCATTCACTATTCAAATCTGATTCAATGAGTTTACTCTAGTAGGACTATTAACAGGATGTAGTCAGGACAAACTGCTTGAAAATCAAATCTTTAATATCACTACTATGAATACTATCACCCATTTTCTCATTTTTTTGTGTGTAAGACATTTTTCAATACATTTACATTTAAGTTATGTTCTGTGAAACATAATATTGATTAAAGAAAACAAAGAAATATATTAAACATTATCCAGAAATTCTGAGTTCTGAAAATTATTGTGAATTTCATATACAATATATGCTCATGTGTGAATTTTGAAATGCTGGTCAAAACATCGATCCCTAAAACCTGGGTCAACTTATCCTCAGGTCTATGTAAATACTGTACTTTAACTCTTATTCAGAAATGAACCATTCCCTTCT